GGGGGGGGGGGGGGGGGGGGGGGGGGGGGGGGGGGGGGGGGGGGGGGTAGGGGAGCACCACACGCTGTGCACGGAAAGACACCGCTGATTGGACCGACGAGTCGCCGGGCGTGCACAAGACGTCTCCAGCGTAAAAAAACTCATCACAGCAGTTATATGTATATTTTTCCGAAGGCGGGAAACTACGGCCTCAAGTCTCACGTGTATCGCATCACATCGAACCTTGGCCCCGTGAGGTTCCATTCAAATCTCAAGAGGATTGCACATTTTTTTACCTTATTTTTCCCGCTGCCGTCTTCTCCCTCCTGCAGCACGTTTTTTCGCGCCCATGCACACACCGCCTCTATATCTCTGTACGTCCGGGCCTCCGTGGGAGAGCCGCTATTTGGAACAAGGAACAAGGACAGAAAATAATCACACGTGAATGACGGTTCAGGGAGCGGGCGGGGGTTGTATTCATGACTGCGTATGCCGTAATCGTTAGACCATTCACCTCGCACAAAGCTGGGACGGAGGACGCCGGGTTCTCAACCGGACCAGGCTCGCACATCACCACGCGCAAAGCACCGCGAGGTATTCGAAGTGGGGGCAGGGGGAGCGGCGACGGTCGCTGATTCTCAAAATTCAAAGTGTGTGGCATCGGCCGAGGGTTTGCCGCCCAGCTTCGTGATCAACTGCTGTCACGGGGGTCTTCTTCGCTCCTCTCACACCACCAACTTGAAAATTATCGCCCAGCACTCATCAAAATATTCACAAAATAGGCAGGTGAAGAGGGTCTCGAAAATCCGCAGACTACAGTGCGCACAAGCACGATTCCAACGCGCGGCGACCGTGAGGAACCAAAGACCCCCTTGCTCCCTGGCGCCACCCACCCCGCATCTCTTAAAAGGGTCCCAAAGGAGGTGGCTCGACAGAAGTCTCCAGCAGTACGGTGATGGATGCTGCAACAGGGGTTTCTGGTTCATATCGGAAAAGGTATTGGGAAAAGCAAATAATCTCCGACATTGTCCATGTTGGGCGAGCTACAGCAGCTGACGAGCGTAGGTCAACATTTATCCGCGGACGGCATGAACGGCACACAACAATTTTCCAGACGGAAACGGGAGGAAGCGCGAGCGCACAACAAAAGGTGTTGAGCTAAAGCTTGTGACGACGATTATTTGCGTGTGCCTTTCGAAGAATACGGAATAGTTTGAGGGTAAAAAGGTCAGACCGGTGTTCCAACGTGTAGTAAGCAACCAACGGCTGCAACAACAGCGCAGGCAACTGGGCATGCAGACAACCATCGCGAAGCAGAGGCGCCCGCGGCAAAGAATATATTTTCCAAACACACACACCTGAGCAGCAGCACGTGTGCCCGAGCCACGACAACGCTTCCAACTAAACGTGCAACGACACGTCGACAACCAACAAGAGCCGAGTGGGCGCTGCAACGCCCGCATGCCCCGCGCGTGTAGTGGAGCAGGCACCAGACTCTTGTCCCACCATCAACCGAGAGGAGGCAAATTCAACTACACGTGAACACATGATCGACTTCACAAGTCGCGAGGGAAGGGATTGCTGTACCCTACTCGCGATCAAAATATCTTAGGCAGGAACCGCAGCAGGGGGTCCAACCCCCCCCCTCCTATGTGACCCCGGTTGGGTCGTCTAGCTGGTAGAAGTGGAGGATGGGGGCCAGAGGGGCAGACGACAGTGTCCAATGATGGGAGAACAAAGAAAAAAAAAAACACTCGATAAAAAAAAAGCAACCATACACATGGGAATCCACTACAATTGTCGCCGGGTGTGAAATCTTCTCTGTTGTTCTTCTTCACCGCTGTTGCACATGTTGTGGGTTTACATGCTATCCTGTGACCGCGGAAAATGGGGTTGTCACTCTGCTCGACAGAAGCAAAAACCACGTAAGCACAGACGACGGGAGCGACATTAAAACAATCGGCCCAAGAGGCCACACAAAAAGCACTGGCAACAATAAAAATAGCTTTGACTTCATCGCTTATTCATCCTGGACGCTATTAGTCTGTGGGCAGAGATGAAGCGATTTCTTGTGTTTCTGTGAGCCAGAGAAAAAAAAAAAGAAAAATGGTGGGGAGAGCGCCTTCCTCGCACGCACCATCTACACATGCATACCTTGCGCGCCCGTACCCCGTGTAGTCGTACGCCAGCACGTTCACCCCGACGGCCTCCGCGATCCCCGCGCACCGGTCGTGCATCGCCCCGATGTCGGTCGCGTTCCCGTGGCTGTAGATAAGCGTGTACCTGGCGTTCGCCGTGCGGTACAAGGCCACGGGGATGGTGGACCCCCGCCCCCCCCCCCCGATCTTCCCGACCTTGGCGAAGCCGCCGCTGCTGCTGCCGCCGCCCCCGCCCCCGCCCCCGCCACTACCGCCTTTCCCCCCGGCTGCTTTGCTGTTCCTTTTGCCCTTGGGCTTTGGATTGGCGACAGCTGCCAAGACCGGCTCTCCGCATCGGCTCCCGCTGACTCCGGAGACGATTGTCGCGATTTCTACGCCCTCTGTTGTCGCCGTTGCCTGGGTGGTCACAAACGTGATGGTGCAAAAGACAAATGCGGTCAGTCGGGAAAGTGCGACCTGTTGTCAAGACAGCTGCATGAGCCGCTGCTACGTAAGATGCGCCATCAAGAGCTAAACCACCTCGAGGACCCGCGGTCCTTCGGCGTTCCTATGGCTGGTGAATGTGATACATGTGGGCGTGAAGACGTACATGTTCAGTGCTTGACGCCCCCCTGTCTCTGCAAGGGTACTGAGGNGGGGGGGGGGGGGGGGGGGGGGGGGGGGGGGGGGGGGGGGGGGGGGCAAGACCGCTGCTGAGAGGGCGGGAGCGGCGGGCGAATTCGGAGATGTGTGCGTGTGTGCCTAGTCAGTGACCATCCACCGACCCAAACGGCTAACCATCAAAAAGCCATCAGGCTACTTCTGGCGGGACAAGAAATGAAGGTCAACGCCCATTCTAGTCCACAGGGTGGGGGTGGGCACGGGAGACCATTGCACGTGTCTGTGGGGGGGGCTCGAAACCAGCTAGTCCATCGCAAAGGCTTCAGGTTCTCTGTGCTTGAAGTCGGGGTCGGAGGCCCCAAGGTTAAGGTTTCCACAAGTCTAACCGGCCGACCGGAGCAAAAAGAGGAGAAATTATGAGCGCAAAGGAGAGGAATACGGCACCCGCACTCGCCATATAAGCGGCAATGCTGCAGACACGTATGGGCTCCTTATCGTAGAGGCCGTTCTAGCGAGTATATACCCACAGCGTTGGCGTTCGGTCTGCGGGGCTCTACCCGAAAGCGGTAAAACTGCCTTACTACCTCCGAGCACACGCAGGTACCGAAATAACTCGCGTGACACAAAAATGCGCGATAAACGACCCGATGGGCTATGAGATTCAACTCTACCAAGGTAGTTCAGGTAAAGCAGGAGGTGTTTGGTACAAGTTGTTTCTCTCACCCCAGTCGGTCGGAGGAAATCACTCCGTGAAACCTGCTGCCTGGGCCTACTCCATTGAGGAAAAACAAATAAAGGCGAGATCACACACGTACGTACATATCGGTAACTACCTGCCGCCGATCTCCATTGCTGTATCCTCTCAAGATACTTCTTAGGCTGTTTCTTACAGAACCGGATTCTTGATCTGAAAAATCGATTTTTTCGGCCGGACAATAATCCGGCTGGGAAAAACGTACGACCCTTCTTACAGGAACCGGATTTTAGTCAGCGGATTTTTTGCTGGACTGTCATGTATTTTTGAAATGCAGCGCGCGCGCACGCGCGGGTAAAAAGTGCCAGCACGACATACACGCGCACAGCAGCAGACCTCACGCGGCAGACCACACAACCATTGCACAACATGCCCGATGGAGGTGCATCTGAGCAGCCTGAGGCGCTCTTGCTGAATTACAACCCATTGGCGAAGGCCGCTGTCGCACACTTTGGCGACTGCATCGAGGGCGGCATGACGAAGAAGCAGATAATGTTGCAGCTGCAGAGCGTTTGCGCCACCTACGCTTGCCAGGGAGTGAAGCGGAACGCTGGCTTGACAAACAAGAAGAGTAAACAGAAAGCTGCGACCCACGCTTACAAGACAATCGTGGTTCCCGGTTTTTTGGCTTGGCTGCGGGAGCTCGAAGGCTCTC